GAACCATCTTCAGCACATTCTTCATCAATAACAAGGAGCCTTTTCATGATGCAACGAACCCTTTAATCATGCAGAGGGTTCTTTGAGGGTTCATGGTTCTATATAGAACCATTTTCTTTACTGAAGAGTCCTTGAAAATCCATCTTTTTAAGTGTGGAGAGTAACAGCTAAAGGCTGGAAAGAATCATGGGAACTGGTTAACATCTCTGATCATGAGTGTTTTCGTGCTAAAAGCATTGAACAGGCACAGTGTCCACGGCAGGACACCACAGAGGAAACCGCTACAAATCTGCTGCCACCTTAAATTTATTGATAACTTAAATTCAGTGCTACCTTAAATTTACTGCCTCCTTAAATTCATTGATGCCTTAAATTCAGTGCTACCTTAAATTTACTGCCACCTTAAATTTATTGAGACCTTAAATTCAGTGCTACAATAAATTTACTGCCACCTTAAATTCAGCTCTCCAATAAAAAACATCGCTGCATGCCTGAAGTTGGCCAAAGAGCACCTTGACCCTCCAAACGCTACGTGTGGACTGCTGAAGCTAAGGTTACTTGTTTGGGATGAACACACAGCACTACATATCATGTAAAAAGGGCTCTGCATACCAACATAAAAACATCAACCCCAACATTGAAGTACAATGGAGGAAGCATCATGATTTGGGGCTGCTTTGCTGCTTCTGGGTCTGGACCAACTGCCTTCATTGAGGAAAAATAAATTCCCAAGTTCTTCCAGGTATCCTGCAGGATCATGTCAGGGTAGCTGTCCACCGTCTGAAGCTCAGTAAGAGCTGGCAGCTACAGCAGGACAATGACCCTAAACACTGAAGTAAATCTACTACAGAACTGCTTCAAAAAATAAAACCTGCCTTTGAAGAGCTTAACCCAACAGAGATGATGTAGAATGACCTCGACAGCTGGTCATACCAGACATCTGAAGAATACGGCTGAGTTGAAGCAGTTCTGTAAGGAAGAACGGTCCAGTGTTCCTCCTGAACAATGTGCAGGTCTGATCTGCAGCTATCCAAAAGGCTTATTTGAGGTTACTGCTGCCAAAGGAGGTTCAACCAATTATTAAATCCAAGGGTTCACTTACTTTTTCTGCCAGCACTGTGAATGTTTAATTGGTGTGCACAAGAAAAATTGAACCATTGTGCTTAAGCACTTTAAGTTGGCAGTAAACTTAAGGTAGTACTGAATGGCTTAAGCACAATGTGTTTGTCTGTACTTGTGACTTAGATGAAGAATAGAACACATTTTATGACCAGAAAACTTGATACACACACTTTTTCATGAGACATACATACTCCAGCTATGACATATAGAAAGAAAAGATAGTAAAAACAATGTAGAAGTTTATTAATTTTTATAATATCTCTTTATTATTCTGCATTTTAGTCCTCGTCAGGGTAAAAAGTGCCCAGTTGAATAGGGTGGTGATTTATAAGTAATGGTATTATTTTTATTAGAAATCTATAATATATTCAGCCCAACCCTTCAGAGTTAAATGCAGGTACCATAAACCGACTAATGAGTGGAAGCATCTCTACTTTACTGGGCTTTTCTAATTCGCTTTACTGTTATATGGAATATAGATTAATATTCACCTAATGAGCCTCTATAGAAAAATATATGGGACAGTAAAGTTCATAGTTATAGTAGAATTCTTTCCTTTGCAGACCATAGTACATGTGCATGTGTGTGGGCTGGACTTACACGGTGAAACTTTCATGCAACTAGTTGCAGGTTGCAAGATGAAAAGAACCATACTAATGTTCCATTATTTTACTAGTTAGCAAGATTAGTACTAGTACTTAACATATATTGTTGCTCGGGGTATGTAACATAATCTGTGATGTAGTTTGTGTCTTTGCATCATTTTTATGTCAAGACGAGCAAATGAATAACCGGGGTCAGCGGTCGGCAACGTGCAGCTCTTTTACTGTCCTGTTGTGGCTCCACAGCAGAATCAGATTAGTAGGTAAAAATAAAATAATCCTCCTTTACAGTAAAATAAAGCTCTGCTGATCGTTCAACACAGTTTAACAATAAATGGTCTTAAACTCTGGAGTTAATGTAGAACTGCTAATTCACCCTTTAACCCTGAAGATCAGCACAGACTGCTGGTTACCATAGCAACACAGACAGCAATCTCGCCTAGCTAGTAGCTACGAAACGGCAAAGAGAGAGATTTAAGACGAACATCGATAATTTAGAGATGAATGGACTGATTTACATTTATAATCACTCCAGCTGGTTTCCTAAAATGTTTAATCTGCAACGAGAAACTATCAAATGCTAAAAAGTCACACAGCACTCTCATTCGTCAGCTTCTTGTTCATTTTTCGATTCTACCTTAAAATGGTCCACAGGAAATTTTGAACGAGAAGCCGGCATCTCCAGCAGAAAACTTTTCCACAAAAGTAAAATAGTTTTACAGAAACTGTTTTACTTTTGTGGAAAAGTTTCCTGCTGGAGATGCGAGAAACGCGGCTATAGCTGAGCTAAAGCTTAAAGCAGAGCAAAGTAAGTCTTTTTGTTGTATTTGTGTTTACATTTCTATTTTTCAGTCTATACTAGTTCATCAGCACATACTGAGACATATTTACAGCCAAGATGGTAAAATGGACATAAACGTTGTGGCTCCCAAGGTGGTTTGATTTTTGTTCAAGGGACAAAATGGCTCTTCTTAACATTTGGGTTGCCGACCTCTGACCTAGCTAGATAAATACGATACAGCAGGCTGTCACAAGCTAGCTTATTAGCTAGTAAAAGTTGCCAGTGTTATTTCAAGAGACTTTATCATTGCTGTTAGAACAAAACCTTCTTATGTCCAAAAAGTAGCTTTACAGGAGAAAACGTTCATAATTAATACTTAATGTGTGTAAATGGAAGTACATTTTAATCTGTCACTTTGGACCATTTCTGTTGGCATGAAGTTTCAACAACGCTAATGACGGTTGGTATTTTAAAATTTATGCAAAAACATTTAAAACCACTAGACGTATCTGCGTTTTGTCTGGCTTTCATAATTGTTGACTGATTCTTGACTCTTGTTTCACACAGTTCACTGTGGTGGTGAGTTTCAAACAAGTTTTAGGTGAATCACATGAGGCTTTGCATGATGTAACACAAGTGAAATTTGGGTTCATATAGGTTTCAAGCAGCTAAAGGATTGTGAAAGTTTCACCGTGTAAATCTGGCCTTTCTGTGCTGGTTAAGATGGTTATAATCAAAAAGATAAATTAAGGAATACAGAGACGACCTGAAACTCTTTTGGTACCAAATTAGTGATTCCTTTTTAAATCTTAACGGCCGTCTACATTTTTAAGAATATAATAGATACATATATATTTATATGTATATATATAGTGGCGTGTTCTGTAAGTGCAGATAGAAAATTAAACAATGTCAAGATCCAGCTTGATTTCTGATCATGGTGAGGTTAGCATGGGCAGTTTCTGCTAAGGCGTCTTTAGTCCGTAATCCGTTAGTCCGTGACACCAGCAGTGCAGAGGCTGAGATATATCCATGAGGAAGCTCAGCAAGCGGTCAACTCGGTTAGCGGTCAGCTCAGTTAGCGTTCAGGCTAACGGCAGTCTCTCAGCTTTCCCAGTCCCCGCTGCTGATAGGCCTCATTTCAGAGCCTGCAGCAGTGGAGGCCTGCTGGACCGAGCGTTCGTGTATGTATGTGTTTGTGTTGCTGTTGTCTTCATGTGCAAGTCAGATGCTCCTATTTTCAAATTAGGGCTGTTTAAAGTAAAATATCCTCCGTAAATTCTTATTCTGGGCCTGTTCACACCTGATAACAATTTTATCTCAAGATAACAAGTAACTCATTATTTCAAGATAACAATTTTGTTATCTTGTGATAACAAGGTAAACAACTCATCTCAAAATAACAGCTTTGTTATCTTGATCACTAGATAATTAACTCGTTATCTCGAGATAACAAGTAACTCGTTATGTCAAGATAACAATTTTGTTATCTTGAGATAAAAAAAAATCTCATTATCTCAAAATAACAGCTTTGTTATCTTGAGATCACTAGATAATTCGATATCTCGAGATAACAAGATAAGTAACTCGTTATTTCAAGATAATTTTGTTATCTTCAGATACCGTGTTATCTCAAACAGCTCTGTTATCTTGAGATCACTAGATAATTAACTAATTATCTCAAGATAACAAGACAAGTAACGTGTTATTTCAAGATAACAAGTTTGTTATCTGTGATAATAAATAACAACTGTATTACCCTGAGATCACAAGATAATTAACTCGTTATTTCAAGATAACTTTTATATTGAGATAACAAGATAAGTAACTTGTTATTTCAAGACAACATTTTTTTATCTTTAGATACTAAGATAAATAACTTGTTATCTCAAAATAACCATCCAGAAAATTCTACATTATAACAACATCATGGCCTCTCTGGACTTTCCTAGTTTTGTTTTAGTATTGTGTAAAAATTTACAGTCATAGGCAAAAGTTTGGGCACCCCAAGTGGCATGTTTTTGTTGATTTTCTAAGTGAAAATACATTAACATCGTCTACGGAGCACACACTCCACATTTTGATACACAATCACTGTTTACTGTTAACAAAAACACACATAAAATGTGGCTTGGGCAAAAGTTATGGCACATTTTATGTTTTATTATTTCCAATATGTTAATCTCATAGATTAACATATTGGAAATATGAATCAATAGAAATTATGCACCAAAATTCACAAAGATTTGCAGAAAAATCTTTAAGTGTGTTCTCTGTAAAGGATACACTGTCAGAAATAAAGGTTCTGTTCAGGTACTTTTTTCGTTCATCAAGGTACAAACAGTGTAAATGTTCCCTCAAAGGTACAACAGTGGTTTTAAGGTCTGATTGTGAACCTTAAATAAGTTTTTCCAGGTGAAAAGTTTGTATTTGTACCTTTTCACAACCGAATGTTTCAAAACAGAACAGTAAAATAAAGTCCTGGAGACGAGACGGGGTGTGTGGAGTCAGTACAGCTTAGAACATATCATTTCAGTGGATTATGGTTCAGTTATGTTCCCTGACTAAAGGTACTGAGATGGACCCTTGAGGGAACCACCGCAGTGACAGTTTAGTCCCTTTAGTTCTGAGAGTGTGTGTTAACTTATTTTAGAAAGTCAATAAAACGTAGTTTAACTGGGGGTGTTCAAACTTTTGCATACATAATGTAACCAACAGTGAAAGACTAAAAATCCACAACAAGATGGAAACTCAGAAATCAAAACAATTTTAAATGTTACAACATTCGCATGTAGCCTTTAGGTTTCTGATAATTTGGACAACAGATGAGGGCAGCATTTCCTCACTGATGGGACAAAACCTTATGTCTCCACTTTTTTATTGTGTGAAAATGGTAGCTTTTCTTTTGTTTCTGACAATTTCATGGTGAATGGACCAATAAGAAATGGTTCAAAATCACCTGGAGTCAAATACTTTTACATCAATTAACATTAACAGGGAAAAGGTTTATTCTTCCTTCTGAAATCGGACCATTTTGGAGATAAAAGGTTTTATTTCAACAACGGCGATACAACTGTGTGTGTGTGTGTGTGTGTGTGTGTGTGTGTGTGTGTGTGTGCGCAGCTTCAGCAGGCCTGAGTGGAATTCTGAGAACCTGAACATTCCAGAGTTCCACGTAATCCCTCTGTTTCATCCTCAGGGTCCTCAGTTGCTCCTGAGCTTCTTATAAAGCCTGTGTGTTTGTTTAATAGCGTGACCTCCTCGAAATCTCGACTCGTCCCTCAAGAAGGCCGTGCATGTGTCAGCACGGCGACTCCACGTAGTCATTGTCGAGGCGCGGCCTGAAAGGCATGGCGAGCGATCGGCTGATGACGATGACGGGCGGGGTCAGGCAGTCGTCGCGGCGATGGAGGATGTTCCAGATTAGCATGGCGGCGGCCAGCGTGGCCAGCAGGCAGGCGGCAATGTTTATGTAGCAGGAGTAGGAGAGGTGTGTGTACGGGCCGATCCTGTAGAAGGACACCAGACCGATCACCAGCACGAAACCTGCAGGAAGAAGGACAGGGCAGGTTAGCATGGAAGCTGAGCTCCAACAGTGGGGCAGGCACTGAGATTTGAAGCAGTAACAGGACATGAAGTCACTTTACCAGTTTCTCCTTACGCCTTGGATACACTACATGACTTTTAAAGCCTGAACAGGTTATAACAGACTGGGCGTCTCACACTGTCGACTGTTTTCTGCAGATTTTTTGGGTGACTGAAATATTGGGGATCCACACTAAACGATTAGGGATCACACTACTCAGCTTTTCAGCTGCTGCTAAACTGAACGGAACTCACTGAACTCGCATGAACTCTCGCTTTATTAGGAGACGCAAATAAATAAACGTGGAGCTGCTGCTGTTTTCTCTGCCATTTGCGCTGAAACAGTAAAGAAGAAGCAGGTAAACATGTGTAAGTGAGGATCACGGATTTAAAAATATGATCAGTGTGGAATTTTTAGAGTTTTAAATGTACATAAACTCGATTGTGCCTTAAACTCAGCTTATTAAAAAGCTTCGCTCCACATGTGAGAGACTTTTCACCGTTTTTCTTTGTTTACTTGCTGTATTTTCTTCTTTCATGCTCTTAGTTTTCATTGGTTGTTGCAGGAATCTGTTCAAGATTGAGTTTTTGATCCGTTTTCACTAGATTATACTCAGAGTTGGGTCAAGAAAATCAAACATGTTTGATAAACTCTGGTCTGAAATGCGATCAGGAGGCTAAAAATCTGAGTCTGTGCCCCTCAGACACAACTCGACTCTCTCCCCAACTGTCGACACTGACTGACCCAAAAATCTGCAGACTAGACTTGACTCAGATCAGGCTGAGAATCAGGGCTAAAATCGGGGTAAAAGTCGTGTAGTGACTTTTACTACTGCTGTAGTCAGTCAGCCAAGACATGTTTGGTGTCTGAAGTCTGCTTCCTTAGTTTAACGCTAGAGCTTATGCTTGTGTGTATGATATGCTGCTCATAGCTTTGGTGGAAAAACTAAAGATGAACACTTCAGACACCAAACATGTTTCAGCTTATGAACCATCTAGGATAAGGAATGATTGCCTTAATATGAACACATTGCCAAGGATGCACTGTCCAATCACAGTCAGGGGGAGGTCCCAGCCCTTGTGGAAAATAAATATATTCCAAATACATTCATCAAATATATTTTTGCAATGGATGAAAATGTCTAAAAGTTGTGTGTAGCTGTAATGAAGGTTACAGATGTAACTAAACATACTGATCTGCACTGTACTTTACAGTAACCATGTACGTCTGCAGTCAGACTCTCACACACAATGTATTTCACATAAACAAGAGATCAGATCATAACTGCATTTTCACAGAGTATCAATACCCACAACACTCGCTTCTGTCCTGTTAAAGGATCATTTGATCAGATTTAAAATGAAGATACTGGAACACAAACTCATCTCTAAAGGTATCAGACAGTGAAGCGCATCAGACAGGATTCTGGATATTTTCATACATTTTCAAATGGATTTGATAAACACATTTACATACGTTTATTTTTGTATGGGACATTTCTATGTGTAATATTTCCCCATACTTTTTAAAGTTTGGTTAATATGGCAATGCATTCTGAAATACATTTTAGTGTTTGGAGTGTATTTTCATATGGGAGAACAAATAAAATGGTTATGAGTTCTGTTTGGCAGCCAGTGCACACCACACCATACAAACCACTGCATCGTTTTGGTCTAAAAGATGACATTTTGCTTCTAAACATCACTTCATTTGACGTCTACTGCTGGTTGTAGCATTCTCTCACTACCTAAAGGGGCAGCTGCTTTTACTCAAGCTTCCTCCTCATCCAACATGAATATCTAGTAGCTGAAAAATTTCCCATGGCTATTTTGGAATAATAAAACGTGTTTTGTGCTCATTAAACGTTTTGAAAACTCAAGTATCCAAATTAATGTCGATGCTATTTAGTTATAATCCATGGACGCCTGATTTTACCCTGCTTTAGTTTAACTTTTTTTTTTTTCGCCAAAAAAATGTATCCAAATCAACAAACGTCTGTTTGACATTCTGTTTGATTTTTGCAGTTCTCATCAAATTATTTTATAAAATGTCAAAATGCACATTAAAATGCATTGATGCAAACCCAGCTACTATGGGGTTAACCGGCTGGTTTAGGTCAGTTTTGGACGAAATGTTTTTGCACTTGGGTCAGTTTTAGACACAAAACTTGATGTTGTGGTTCAGTCGGGGTCAAACAGACTCAGATCGCGTCCAGACTCAAACTGCGACGCTGTGTTGGGTCGGGTTGGACTTTGGTGAGGAAACTGTCAGGCTGTATTCAGGTTCAGACTAATTTCAGGACCCGATTATAGCTCTAACATCTGCTGGTGTGTGTGTGTGCAGTTCCTGCAAGTAAGTAAGGAAGTTGCACGAAATAAGTTGTTCTGGGAAGCTGTGGATTTGGCTGGGATTACAGTGGGAGTTTTCCTGCCGGGATGCTATTCTAAACTCTAGCACTAATGTTTATTGTAACTAAGGTTATTTTTGGACGAGTTTATTAATCCCTCCATTTTAGGTAATGGAAGTGTCTTAGTCATGTAGTAGTTTGGTGAAGACGATTGGCCGAGTGATGTTGATTGACTGGGTCAGTGGCTCCTCCCGCTTCCTCTGTAATAGAGGGAAGTTATTAATAAAACAGCCCAGCAGAGCGTTTTTCCCAGAAACACGGTGAAGTCCCAGCAAAGGATATGAGAGCAGGACAAAGACTAAGGAGCACCAGACTGTTCACAGTTCACTTATTCTCTCTCTCTCTCTCTCTCTACATAGATATATATATATATATATATATATATATATATATATATATATATATATATATATATATATATATATATATATGTATATACGTATATCTATACGTATACACGTCAAGTTACGCTCTAAAAAATAAAGGTGCTACAAAGCGTTCTTAGTGTGATGCAATAGAAGAAGAACCATATTTGATTCCCTAAAGAACCTTTCACCAGTCCTTCACTTCCTTAAGTTTAAAGAACCTCCTTATAAAGTAAAGGTTCTTCATAACTGGGTTGAGAACTTTACATTATGTGAAGCTTCCTTTAAAAAGTTCTTCACACATCTGATTGACAGACGTGGTTCTTCGATGGCATTGCTCAAAGAACCCTTTGTCCCACCTTTTTTTAGAGTATTTAGAAACACTGACAGCCGTCATAAGATCATCAATAAACAAGGCATAAAAAAAGACTAGCGTCATTATCAGATATGAGATTATCTGATATCTAAAAATTCTCTCTCTCTCTCTTTTTTCTGTCTGACTGTGTATTTTTTTGGCATGGCCTGTAATCTCTCTGGTTTCCTTCCCTCTCTCTTCCATTCATCCTTCCTTCCTTCCACCCCTCCCATTCACCCTAACCTAAATAATCTCTCTCGCTCACTCTCGGTCTGTCTCCAGGCTGGTCTGGCTGTCCGCTCACACCGCTCTACATTTCCTCTCCATTGTATCTGTGTCTGAGGTTGAGTCCACCAAGGCCATTCACCAGAGAGAGAGAGAGAGAGAGAGAGAGAGAGAGACAGAGAGAGAGAGAGAGAGAGAGAGAGAGAGAGAGAAACACTAGAGCTTTAATCGGGTCTGATCTTGAATATAACTCAACAGAATTCTGTGTAAGTCTAATTCCTACCTGGCCACAAGGGCAGCTGTCGTCAGATCCTTCGATTCAAAAACAAACAGCCTAAATTGTCTCCCCATATTCTGCCCACCAGTGTGTTCTTTCATAGCTAGCATGAGTAATAATTGGTACTTGACGGCTGGGTTGATTTAGGCCCAGTCCCATTTCACCCCTCGGCACACCAGGGAGCAGTTTGGGGTTAGGTGCCTTGTTCAAGGGCCCTTCAGTCATGTCCTGCGAGCTCAGGGGATCAAACCGGCGACCTTCCGGTCACAGGCCTCATTGCCTAACCTCAAGCCCATGACTGCCTCTAAATTAAGGCTGTGACACGCTGAATGCAACGAGTTTTTTGGGGAATTTCGCCAAGTCATTTGCATTGTGCCAAAAAAAAAATAACAACAAAAGGGGTCCTTTACTTCTCACGATACAGCCAACCTGTGGCATTGTGCAGCATGCTTTGCACTCGGAAAAGCTTGAGGAGAATGGAGAGTTTCTCCACCGCATTCATGAGCTGAAACTTTATAATCTCTCATTCACAGCTCGGATTTCTCATTTTGAGCTGATTTATAGATGCAGCTCCACACGAGACGAAGCACTAAACAAACAGGCTGAATGTCTTAAAGTGCAAATATGTGTTGCTCCTCACTGAGCATATATTTGCACAATATGGGCGTACAATTACAGACTGTAGCTGGACAATTGATCAGCCCTCCTCTACCCTGTTAATCATTGGAAAGGGACCTTCATTGGACCACCACTGACCAGGTATTCATTGGGAAGTGGGCCATTCTCAGCACAGCAGTGGCTCTGGCATGGTAGTGTTTGTAGCAGTGCTACGAATGTATCAGGTACAGACACACAGATACACAACATCAGCTCCTTGTGTCTCCAAATTCTATGTGCATGATTATTTTCTTTTCTATAGCAGCTACGCGTGCCTTCTTTGAATACCCGATTAAGTGAGTGAACACTCAGAAGTCAGGATATCCACGTATTTGAATAGAAGAGCCCATCCCTAGCAGTGACACTGGACTCTTGACAGTAATCATTACTCCTGTCAGTAGGAGTTGGAAAAACTCCCAGCGGCCAGTCAGAGCCGCGAAGACGCCTACGAGTCCGTCTGTCTGCGCCTGTTAGTCTCCATCTCCGCGTCCGAGTGTATGCAGAGCAAGGCTTTGTTTATGATGGTCAGTATGTCGGTAGCCAAGGCCAATATCATTAGCATTCCCAGGAATGGAGGTGTTCCCTCTATTGTTTCAATTACTGTTCCTACTTAGTTAATAGCATTAGCGCATGAGCACGTAAAACACATGAAAATGATAACCGCGTGTCAAAGG